GGAGTAGGAAGTGGCTCATTGAAACACAAAACAGTTATGGAATAGGTGGGATTAAATAGATGGGACTAAATATGCCACTTGAAATGAGCATTCCACTGAAATTGCTGGAATTAACAAGGAGTGTGAGCAAACAGGATTAGTATCATTCTTTCAGGAGGGTAATGACTTTAAACAGCTGGAACTGTCTGCATGGAAGTAATTGGTTTCCTCCTTGTTTTACAAGAGATATGGATTTAATATGAAAACTATTTTTTCTAATTTACAGGCATCAACTTATCACCATATTCAAGAAGTAATGGTACAGTTATTACGCATAGTGAACAGAACTGTTATTTCGATGAGACGAGATGACCCCTTAATTGTGAGTAATAATTTTAATGCTTTGAAAGTCATTTCACAATTATCTGTAAAAGCAAAAATACAGTATTTGCTGAGTGTTTGTGGTCTTAGATAAGCTACCTGTTTAGATTTAAAATGAAAAGTCTGAACCTTTATTCTCTCTTCATTCATCTATGCCACCATACTGTCTTTCAAATCATAATTGAACACTGCTAGTGAGATTTGTGCTTTTAAAAAAGCTAAAATTAGTCACTCTTTGGAGGAAAAAAACCCACTGAAAATAGTGTTTCTACTAATCTAAAGTGGATCGCTGGGTAAAATTTAAAAAACTATTCTGAGTAGCTTATATAAATAATTAAATTTTGGGGAGCTTTGTTTCTTCTGATTTTTCCAAATGCTTTACTTTTCAGAGAGTTAGAGCTGTTATGGAACAGCTGCTCTTTCCAGTCTTTCTTCTGTAGAAGGAATGTCAACACTTACTATTCACACAGGGAAATTGTCTTGAGGTCGTCTTGCTCAGGTTACTTACCTGGGGTTCTTAACAGAGAGTCCATGGTTTGAGACTTATCTTCAAGGACAGATTCTGCAACTTACCCAGATTTAAGTACATATCTCATAAGCACTTCTCTTGACTTAGGCTATTTGTAACAAGGAAAGCCAGCTGCTGACTCCTCAGGCAGCAGGATATAAGGAACTTACCCTTCAGATTGTGCACTTAACAGATTATGTACATTAATTTTTAGTCGTACTGATGCTTACATTATTCTGCAAAGTCGTGAGCAGCATTTACTTGATTGTTTCAGCCACAAAGGGTCCATGATATGTCTTCTAAAATGTAATTTGTTTCCTTGTTCATTTCTGTTGGAAAACCAAGAGAAAGGTTTTTGAACGTTGTCAGTCTGCAGTACGGGCCTGTGTGATATGGTGTTTTAGGATCCTTATAATTAAGTTCTGCAGAAGCGATATTTGTCAATAGTTGCTTGACATAAGATTTTTGAAACACTCTGATGGTGGATCTGCAAGTTTCAGAAATCACGTCATTATGTATTTATAAAAATTCAGGTCTCTTGTTCTTTTGTTTCTGTGCAACCCTTTAATGTGTGTGTATGGTCATAACGGGAAGAGGTTTTGAATGAAGAGCCAAAGAAGCTTTCAGTTCTCTACAGCGTTTGAAAATGTTTCTGTACTTGGAAACAAAGCATCGTATGAGTTTTATGCATGATGTAATCAATCCACTAATTAATTATGTCCAGGTGCCATAAATAACAAATGAAGAAGCAAAATGAAACTGTAGTAATCATTCAAAAAAGGATCCTTATCATCAGGAAACAAGGGCTGGTTACAGTCAATTGCAATGGTTTGGGAAATCAACTTTTTCCTCATCTACTGTAATTTTTTATTGTTCTTACTTAAAAAGAACAAATCTAGTGCTAATTTGAGAATCCAGATGTCTGAATGCTAATAAGGCTCATCAGCACCTGTGCATCTGTGTATATTGGACACTTCAGACAAGTATCGAAGCAGAATCCCAGTAGAGTTTTCTGGAATTGACGTAAGATCTCTCAACAGAACGGTCCTTTACACATGAAGCAATTGTTTGTAGTGAAGAGAATTGTCTTTTGCGTTCAGAAAGAATTTTCAAAATAAGCTAGTTTTGTGCTCGGTGTACTACCTTCGATTCAGTTGGTTAATTTGCAGGTTTGCTTTAGAAACCCTTGAAGGGGCCAAACTTCTTGAAAGCCTGGAAACTTATGTTTTTAAAAGTCAATCAGATCAAAATTGTGGCTCTCCGCAGAACGTTTGGGTAGGCTAAGGTCACTGAAAGCGTGATCGTTTGGAACTGTGTAAGGATAGAGGAGGAATGTTTGGAGTAGCTGCAGTTGAGCAATTGGTTTTAGTGTTGACTTGAGGCTGATGTTATGTGCATAAGAGACACATGTCAGTTTGGACTTCATCTCCCCTTTGCTTTTGGGAAAAGAAGAAGTTACTCTTCAGACTCTTTAGTCTGTTTCTGTTTTTGAATATTGAAAGTATTTTCATTATCTTCTGCTGTGTAGTTTTCCGTAAGTTGAAAATAGAGCGCCTATTATGTGGAGAAAATGCCAATACTATTGTTTTAATATTAAAAACAGAGCGGTTGCAATTTACATGACCTGTACACCTTGAAAGTTTAAATCACTTGCACCTGATGGAGTACTGCCTTTTATTTGTTTGAGGTTTTTTTGCTTTTTGGCAGGGAGGAGCAGGTAAATTTTCCTGTTCAAGTGTCCCTTTCATCATCATCTAGGTTGTTGGCAGAGAAGGAGTTTAAAGGCATTTAGGCTTCCAACTGCCTTTATTTTTTGCAGCAATGTCAGTTGGACCCTGCCTTGTGCTCAGCAGGGTAACAGTGTGCTATGAAGCTTGTTTATGTAATTACTAGCAAGGGTCAGGCTAAGATGGGCATGATTTCTGTTCAGGAAAAGGTGATGGTGATGAAAACATAATTTGACACTCTGTAGCTACTGCAGAGAAGACTTACTTAAATGCCACAGAGGACTTCATTTCGATCTTTTGGCAGTTGAAGTCTTTAACAGCTGCTTGGTAACTTCTGTTTTAAAACAAACAAACAAAATTTGAATGCCTCTGTAGTTGAAGAAGTGCTTCTGAGCTTCTCATAAGGATATGTTTATTGTGTGAGACTGGCTTTTCTTGTTGTGTCTGAGTCTCTACATGAAATTTAGACTTCAGGGTATAATGATGCATTGAAATCCTAGTTCAGGAATTATGCGAGTAAAATACGTACTTGTTTTCCATATTAGCTTGATTATATGAACAAAAATATAATCATAAATTCACCGTGTGTGTTTTAAAGCTCTCCTTTGGTAGACCAAACTAGGTTTTGTTTGCATTAGCAGTTTAGCATGGTAAAAAGGGTTGTAGTTATGCTACATACAACAATTTTCCGGCAATATTTGTATAAAATATTGTAAAAATAAAGATTTTGCACAAAAGAAACTAGAGGGTTTTTTTTTATTGGTTTTCACCCATAGGCAAGTATAAAAGTAAGGATTCTGGACATAAACAATTACTGGCATTTTAAGGGAATTCCCAGTGCCTTAAAAAATAGGAAGGTGTGGAAAGCCTATGCTCTGTTAACCAATTTGGCCAGGGTGTACTTTGTCTCCAAAATACTTTACTATGCAACATTAATTTGTAATGAGAATTAAAAATGTATAGACTTTAGATGGCTTCTTGCAAAAACAAAATGTTTTGGGGAGATAGTGACCAACCACTTTGCAGAGCTGACGTAGTTGGTAAATGTTATAGTAAAACATTTGCATGAACTAGCGAAATCTTACAATATTTTTGTTCAGTATTCCAATCCAAATTGATTCCAATCCAATCACTATAGAATATGATTCCATAAGAGAACTATTACCCATTCTTTTTCCTTTTCCAAAGAATAGTCTTTCGCTCCTTGGTAATGTTATTGAGCCCTGAAACCTAAGCAAAATATCTCATTTTATTGTAAAAGATAACATCCCATTTAAAGAACCTAGAAATTTGCAAAACATTCGTTTGATTAATACATTTCCTTAGGAAATTGTTTTGTATTTAGGCTAGTATATTATCAAGCATTATGGCTTTTTCAAAGAGCTGTAGTTTATGAAACTATGAAAAACCCTACATCAACTGCTGTTACATGATAGAGAGAAATCAGTATTTTATTCATACATTTTGAATTTTTAAAGAAAGTTAGATTGACTCTTTCCATAAAAACAGTAATTTCAAATGCACTAATTTTTAAATATGTCATGTGCTGTACAATATTTTACAAATATCAAATTGCAGTTCTCATCTAAATATATATTTTTAGAGAAGACTATTATGTTGTATATACAAGTGCTGTCAAGAAAATGTGTGTTTTTTTTATTTTTTTAACTGTGGGAGCTGTTGTGGGGCATTATACCATAATTTTCTAAAGTAGAGGAATTTTTTTTAGCCAGTACTATTATTTTCTAATAATAAATCTATTTTCTTGCTTTTCTAATCCTGACATCATACGCATGCATTGTTTATCTCATACCATTAATTTTTCTATTTCCTATTTGGATTACTAGTTATTAAAATTATTAACAATAATTTAAAAATGATTTTAAAAAACACAAAAAACACCCTCACACATCACGTTTTCATGTTGTTTAGGTTCTCCAATTATGCTCTGTTACCAAGGTATATATTTTTCTGTATTTTAATTTGTTACCAGGATATAGCTATCTGTATGCTAAATCTGAATTCAAACAAAGCAATTATAAACAATGTGATTCTCTCTTTCTCTGTGGTCAATACATATTATGGCTGACACTTTCCCACTGTAATTTTAAATGTAACAGATACCCTTCTGGGCCAATGGACGTTGGGATTAAAATTTTACCCAGAAAGTCAGCTGTGTGGTGTACTGTGGAGAAGATCGCCTATAGTAACTTGAGGCTTTCAGTATGTGTGGATTTTGTGTAAAACTATGGTGCATATTCTTCTGCACAAATAACTTTAATAACTGCTTTTTTTAGATGCTCCTGTCGGTATTGCTTATTATTCTACCTATACTGCAGAATAGTCATCTTAAAGTTATTTTAATAGAATAGAAACACATACCACTAGATCCTTCAGTAAGGAATGCTGTAGGCATGCTAACATAAGCAGTTCATGTGTTTCAGTGTGATATAATGACACGGTCGGATGTAATGATTTAATTCTGACCTCTGATATGTGTAAAAGTTGTTATTGAAGAGCTTTTCTGGCTCACTGAAGGTATACTTTTTTGCTTTTTTCTTCTGAAAAGCCTCTAGAGTAATGAGAATTTTGTGCCTGTGATTTCCATATTGAATGTACTTACATGCAAGTGTTTTTTAAAACTCAGTCCTTCAGGATATTGATAAGTTAAGCCATGTTACATAGCATATTCTCTTTTAAATGAAGATCAGTTTTCTAGCACTGTTAGTTCTCCTTGATATCTGTGCAAAATTACAGCTTTTAATGTGTTTCTAAATATCTAATTAACCCTAAAAATTGGGGGAATGAAGAAGTGTACGAACGGTGAACAATTTTTAAATTCATGTTGCAGAGTTAATACTACATGACTTAAAAATTGAGGCTCTAAGAATTAATCTGGTACCATCTGAATCTAAGAATACACTGGTACCATCTGAACTCATTAACCAGAGTAACTTTTAAGAATAGGTCTGCAGTGTGTTCCACTAAACCTTTTTTGACCTTTACGTTGTGCCTTTTAAACTTGCTTTGCAAAATATATTTTTTTCCCCTTATGAATGCTGATCATTTTGTCATGAATGAAATAATAACAACTTTGAGCCTTTATTAGGTTACATTGGAATACTTAGTACTGGCTGGTGCCTTAGCTAGTATTCGAAGGTTAAAAAAGAGAAAAGAAAAAAAAAAAAGAAAAGCTATGCTGACACCTAATAAACTTATTCTAGCATATATAATTTGTTTTGGAATCATACAGGTAAGTTCATTAACAGCTAATTTTTAGGACTAATTTTGTATCATGTGGGCCTCTATGGGGGTATTTCCTCTGTTAAGGCGCTAAAAAACATGCTTTGGGATGTTTTGGTATAGTGATACAGGTTTTAAATGCATAGTGATACAGAGTGGGAAATTGGGAAAGTGGTTTAACAGGATAGGAGGCAGCAGGTTGAGGGAAGTGGTTCTGGCTTAGGGGAGAGGTCTTACTAAATATCTATTGGGAGGATATAGGGAAGACAGAGCCAGACTCTTCTTGAAGGTCCATTGGGATAGGACAAGATGCAATGGACACAAGTTAGAACATCGGAAATTAGGTTAGATGTTAGGAAAAACCTTTTCATTGTGAAAGTGGTCCAATTTTGAAACAGGCTTCCCAGAGGAGTTGCAGAGTCTTTGGATATACTCGGACTTCAACTGGACAAGGCCTTCCGCAGTCTTACCTAGTTGGATCTGCTTTGAGAAGGGGGTTGGGTTCGACTTATTTAAATATTCTCTTGTTTTATGATTCTAAGATTCTTTCTACAGAAGTCTATTAAATGAATGAAATTTCTAAATGATTGCTTTTTAAATGGAAGCAATAAAAGAGATGAGTAACGTTTAATCTGAAATTCTTTTTTTGGTTAAATATTGGATGACAGTCACAAAAATATTTCACTGGGGATATGAAATTTTTTTTGAGCAGCATCTATCACCCTGAACTTGTTGTTGGCTATGTGGTTTGCTTAGTGATCAATGAATATTCTTTTTTTTTTTCAGTCCATGTTACTTAAAAGTAGAAAATAAAGACTGAAAGACGTTCTTAGCTTTGTCTACGCTTGCTTTTTAAAGTAGAGATTTAATTGCTGTTATTTTTGAAAGGTTGAAAAAAAGTTGTCTTTACAAAGCGTATGAAAGTGTCCTTGGAGAAAAAGGAGAAAAAAATTACAGTTCTTTGTTGAAAATAGTCTCTTCATGTGTATTTATTCAGTGAGGGGATTTGTTAAGTAAATTCAACTCTTCTGATTTTTCAGATACTCTATTAAACTTATCTTAGCCTTCTATTTATGATTTCATAATAGCACAGTTTTCAGGTGTATGTGCTCAAACCTCTTCATATGTATTCTAGAGTCTTTCAAAATGTAAAAACTCTGTGTTTCTATATATAATCCATAAGGCAGTCAAATCCACCAGAAGCATTTTTTTTTCATCTTTTTTGTTTTCCTTCTTAATTCCTTTTTCTCGGGAATTGGAGGATCAGATGGTAGGTTTTGAGGAGAAGCTGTAGCTGGACTTTGTTCCGCATGATCCAGCCTTTTCAAAATCTGATGAAATCTTCCTTCTTGTTGTCTGAAGTCATATTCTACACTATGGAAAAAACGAAGAGATTAAGCTAGTAAGTGATAAATTCCTTCTTTAAAAACATGTGGAAAAGATGCAAACTTTGTTAGAACAGAACAGTATTCAATATCAGAGCCTGGTTAAAATGGAAGATAATATAGGTTGCTGCCTTGAAAAGTAGTTCATCTATTAACCTTTTCTGAGGGAATCCTCTTGATCTATGTGAGGTAACAACTCCAGCGTTGGGTCCGAACACAATGGGACAAGAATTAAGGGGAAAAAAAATAAACGGGGTCTTTCATGTTAGATAACATTTTCCTTCATTTGCATAGCAGTTCATATGTACTTATATTTCATCCATTTTTTTTTCTTTTTGCATAAACTCATGAAAATCAGGGTTGTGTATGTGCCCGCTGCCTATATATGTGGCAGTTTCCCAGAAGAGTTTAAAATAAAGAAAAAATAACGTATACAGTTCATTTTCGTTACGCTCTGCAGTTTATTTTTAGCCCACATGTTGCATGAGAAATGGAGGTGGCTACTGCTGATTATTTTTGTGACTTTGAATTGTGACTTATGGTTTAAACAGGTTTTTCCTAATGGTTTCTTTTTTTTAATGGCGAGTATGCTCTTGCTTTTGTGAGTGGGCATAATTTTGTTTCAAATTACTCTGTTGCATTATGCTGCTTTACAGTTGAGGAAGTTGTTAAGTTTAACCTGTGTGAGCTTGACCATAAGTAGTTTAACCAGAAAATAAAATTCCTCAAAGTTTGCACTTTTTGTTGAGATAAGCAGTTCTGTGGAATCACAGTTTCTTCTTCCTCCCGTTCCTAGTTGATTGCTAGTTGATGCAGTATCTTCAACATGCAGCCGAGCTTGGAAATGAATGAACAAGATGCAACGTTTGTACTAAAATTATACAGTTAGTTCAAACTTCTTACTGTTATAGTGGTAGTTGGATTTATGTTTTCCTTAGTCTTTCTCGCATGCTTGCTGGCCACCATCAGCCATTTTTCCTGTTCCTTAAATTTGGTCTGAGCCTGTTATTGGGGACCTACATAGGTAAAGGGATATGACAAAGGAGTCTGTTTTTTCTCTTTTAACGGGGCTAATGCCTTTTTATAGTTATTTTTAAGGAACTCTATTATCTGGCAGTTTGAATTATCTGCGAAAAGAGTATTTGCTATGAGAAAGTATCAACAATTAGCTTTTACCTTCACCCAAGATACTGGTGACCGCAAATCTAAAGAGAATAAGAAACAGCTGTCAAAGTATAAGTAGTCATGGATGAGATGAAAAATGATTAAATTTTTTTCATGTGCTATGGAAAAAGCCTAATGACAAATGATTTATACTTTGGCATTTAAGTCATGTAGAAAGTTGACTGGTTAACTTCATGCTGATTTTTTTTTTAAAAATTTAAGCTGGCAGGGGATTTAGAGATCATGGGAAATAGCTATGGTAGCTTACAGTCTATGAAGTGTTACTTTTTAATGTAAATAAAAGTGGCAGTTACTTTTTGTGATTTAATACCTTGTCATTGTAATACAAAGCAGTGTTCCAACCAGTTGCATTGAAAAAGAAATTTTCATTAATATGAAAATCATTCTTGATGGTAAAAAGTAGAGTACAGCATTGTATACTGGTGTACAGAATAGGAAGAAATCTTGAAATAGTTCAAACTGCTGTATTTGTGACACTGAAAATCAGCTGGTAATTGACAACTTCATAGAAGTACTGCTCTTTAGTGTTATGTCTGTACTGAGTAACCAGTATTAATCTTTATTCCAACCACCTTTTCTGGGCAGGAGAATGGGAGTTGACAGCTGAATTTGCAGGGGGATGGGAGAGAGGGAAGGAGCTGTTTGTTTTTTTCCATAATGCAAGCTCTTTGGAAGGAAATGTGGCATCATCATCAGGTGTATTTGTATAAGAGATGTCACGTTCAGGCTCTGTTCCTGGTTTGGGCCCTGAGAAAGAAATCTGTAAAAATTAGTAAATGTGCATGTTTCTATTAACACTATATTAATTATGCGTTTTTTGTGTGTGTGTATTTATAGATACATAAAAATGCATGAACATTGTGTTGAATAATATGTTAAAATTAACTAGAAGCTTATTTCCCTTATAATTAATATGATTGAAGTTTTTCACTGAAGTAAAATGACTCATTTGGCAAAAAGAAACAATTATTCTAAAGCATAGAAGAGCTGGAGAGAGGTGTCTGGTCAGGGAGTAATATATAATAAATTAAAGGAGAAAGAGGAGGAGAGTGACGTAAAAGGCAAATTTGATCAGTGTCTCTCTGTTTTATCAGCTTAGTGTTAAAATTGCAACTTAACGCTCTTTAGAAGTTGCAGTGCAGGAGCACTGGAGAATGAAATGTTCTGTTTCTAACATGCATACAGCAAGGATAACATCTGCTCATGTTCCGTTTTGCTTCCCTTTTTCCACATTTCTAATTTAATGTTGGAGAGATCATGTCCAGAGGCAAGACATCAGTTCAGTCTCCATTTAGTACTTGTCCTTTGTATTCCAAGATAACTGTTTGCTTTTGGTTGCTACTTCCATTTATTTATTGTAATACGAACTTTTGTCTGATAGGATCTAGACTGAAAGTCCCAAGTCATTTCACATAACACTGCTTGAATAGTTGTTAATAAAGCTAAACTTTTATAGCCATTATATATCTGATCTGAATTTTCTGTGACTGTAAGAATGAAAGGCTCTTTACTGCTTTGCCTGTCAATTTAATCAACACCTGGATTGACATGAGATTAGTATACTGATGGATTCAGGGACTGCTTAAAATGTACATAATAAAAGATGATTCACTGACAGTAATACAAGATACTGCTGTATTTGGATCACTGATGACTCTAGGTTCTTTAAGAGCGGGGAAAGGGAGGACAAGATGAAACACCTGATTCTATAATTAATGACAGCAGTGAAGCTATGTTAGAGGAAAAATGCACTACCTTTTAGAAAAACTGATGAACACAATTACTTTTTTAAGCGTGTTGTCTAATGAGTCTATAATGAACTTCAAATGTTGGTACTCTGAATGCTTTTTTGTGACCATCTCTTGTACTTACATATCTATAAGAATGAATATTAACAAATAAGAATGATGTTACTATTTTTTTTTTCTTGCTGTCTTCTGCTTCGTCTGTTGCAATTAGAAATTGTTCAGAGCAGGAGTTGTTTTATTGTATGTACTCTACTAATCATTGCAGTGCCTCCAGGCACCGTTGTAATTAAAAGCAACCAAGAAAATCAAAAGAGACATCATTGTTTTGCTGTTTCATCTGTTATTTACTTCTGACTGTTGCTTGGAATTTCTTTCCTGGATTGGAACTACGTAAACTGAAGAGGTAGACTAAGCCTCACAGTTTACTCCTCTGAAGAGAGAAGGCATCCTGTGATAAAAGATAGTTTGTATAGATAATCTAGGGAGTGGCCTTTTTTGCTGTAAGGTCCAATAAAAATACACAACTTTTATGGACTCATGCGTCTCAGAGGTTGTTTGTTGTGAGGGATGACAACATGACCAAATAAAGGAAATCTGTATTGTCTGAATCTTTTTTTTTTTTTTTTTTTTTTAAATACAGACTTACTCTTTGATCTTGGATAAGTCATGTAACTTCTGGAGTATCCAGTGCACTGTAGGGAAGACTAACAAGATTGTCTCATAGATGAGTTGTGGTGTTTAATTTGTGATGTGCAAAGTACTTTGAGAAGACTAAATACTATGTTTATTATTAGGAGTTAAGGACATCAGCACTCAGATGAGTTGTACGTTGAACAACAGGTTGCAACACTGTGTCCAACCCTGACTTTACCTAATGAGCATATCAAACTCTTTAATTAAAAAGTTTGGCTCATCTAGAAAATATGGTTTGAGGAGCACTTTGGGGGGTATATTTTATTGCTTATAGTCATAAAAAAAACTGAAAGGAAACATGCTTAAAGTTTGCGAAGCCGAAGGTCTGTCATATTCTTTGAAGTAAAGAAAATCTTTTCAAGCTAAAAGAAAAAGTCATTTGTCCTTCTTTTGTACATTAATCTAAAGAATCATTCTGCACTGCCAGCAATGCAATGCTGCAAGCGTATTTGTAATCCGGGTCATGAATAAAGAGCTGATTTTATGTGGAGAACTTGTTCACATATCTAAAACTTTTGGAAATTTCTTTAAAGTTACAAAAGATGCCTGAGAACGTTTCCAAATAAGTTCTGCCATTACGCGCTGTAATTTCTAACTTCTCCGCTCGATTTTCACAGCGTCTGATGGGCAAGTTCATTATTTTCCATGAAGCACTTCAACAGTCAAAGGAAGAGAACGCACAGGAATGTAACGTTTCCTTTGGCCGTAAATAAATGTGACAGAACTTGGAAAAGAAGTGCCTTTGTGTTTATTCTTTAAAAGGACATGCTAGTAATTTTGCTTTTTAATGTATATTGTGTATATGTATTATGAACAGTAGTGCAGATCTTCCCGTCTGTACATTGTTTTTGTGAGTTGTCTTGAGTCATGAAACTGTTTTGGAGCATGGCAAAGAGGTTAATAGATGGAAGCATTTTTTTCTTAAACTTTAAAACGTTACAACACATGAGAAATGCAGCATGTATAGGAGTATTTTTTTTTTTTATTGTGAGAGAGAAAGAAAGACAGAAAAATGGGTATGTGATTTCAAGAAGCCAGCGTTCTCATTAGCTCATCGGCGGTAAAGTCCTTTAAGTAAAGTTCCCTTCCCCAAAAATATTGTAATTTTCCACTAAATTTGGTTTGAAACATATTCCTGACTCTTCAAATGAAACCAAAGATATCATATGTAAATTTTGACTGTGCACCCCCTTTTTTTTTTTTTTTTTTTTGTCATACTCTAAAGCCTGCAGTGTATGGCATTACTGGAAAGAAGATAAAATGCTGAATTCTGAGCTGCAATTCTGTTTATGCTGCCTTTGTGCAATGTGTTTCTTAATATTCTGAAGTTAGAAGTTAGTATGTCATATACTGGAGAGACCTGAGGAGGTTTGCTGGCATGTTTGTTGTATGCTGGTGCTATTAGTTGCAGTTAAAATGGAAGTCAGATGGATATGTAGGGAGTTTTGCAAATCAGCCACCTGTTCCAAATATCATGTCTTATTCTCTATGTTTTTCTTTATCTTTTCTGGTAATTTGTCCTGTATAGAACTCTGTTTACATGAATGAATCCTAAGTGTGAAGTTGTTTCCATTTTACAGATAGGAATGCAAAAATGTAGTCAGCTTAATATCATGCAGCTATCAGAAGCTGGGCAAACACTTGAGCTTTGAGTCACAGCCTTAGGCTTAAGACAGGCCACGTTGCATCTCTGTATGTGTAAAACTGATTGTCCTTCTGGAGCGTTGGTTGTAGGTGTAAAAGTAGGAGCGGAAAGTTAACGTGAAGATTAACCCAAAAAATTGAGAGATTCAAAAACTGTGTAAACGTTTCCCCCTCTGAGAAATAAAGTACCCTTGCTCTCAAAGTAGTTCTCAATCTTGGTTTTGCAAATATAAGAGAATATTTTGGCTGGTTAAGTAATATCATCTCTGTCCTTCAGTTTCTCCTCTTTTCAAAATCTGTAAGCTATTAGATTTTGCAAAACTAGGCCATCAAGAGAGGAAAAAAGAAAACCAAGAAATTTAAGCTGTAGACGTGATAGGATGCGTGAGATGAGGACATTTTTCAGGATATCTTTTGGATTGAACCTTTGGTGTTTTTTCCAGACACATCACTTACTAAATATGATTAATGTGTGTTGAGCCCTATGTGGGGGTAAGGACATATATTTTTAGAGATGTTTAAGATAAAGTGTGTGGAAAATATCCTACTCTGAATCTGTTTGTTATAGGAAAGAAGACTGATCAGTTTACTAAAGAAGATTTTCAGTTCTCTTTTTCATTCCATGTTTAATTTTGAGTTTGAATGCAGTGAATTTTGAGCCAGAAGGTGATTCAACTGCTGAAGTTTGGTCTTGCTTTGTTTGTCCCTGAGGACACAGAGATATGATAAGGAAATTACAACATTTTAAATTTAATTTGGATTAAAGTGAGGCATTATTTGTTCAGGTAATTTCTTCATTAACATACAAAATCAGAAAGGTTACAATTAATCAAAAGAATGACTGAAGGAGGGGCAGAGAGAGTGAATTTACAGGCTCAGTGAAAGAAAAATGTAATACAGTCTGCCAGCTTTGTTACTTTCTGTTTTGCTTTCTTCAGTTGCAAAAAAAAACAAGAAAAAAAATAGAAACACAAACTTGCATGCTAATGTTGGGAAGAACAAGTAAGCATTTGTTGTTACCTTTTGAAGAAGAAAAAGCCAGAGATTAGTTTTTTTATCTTTATGTGTTCAGAGGCAAGTTGTATTTGATAACAAATAATGTATGTGATACTTTGCTTTCAGAAGAAAGATGATGTTCACTGAAGAAGAAACAAGCTTCATGTTCTACTTTATGTCCTAGTGTTAGAAGAACCTGCTGGAGTAATGGGCATGTTAGCAGTATTATTTTGCTTACCTGCCTTGGCTTAGCTGTTTGCTGAAGCTTGTTGTAATATATTCTAGGGCACATGATTCTTGCATGCAAAATCATTTTTTCACATTTTATAGCCACGTTGTTATACGTGAATATGTAACCATGCTGTCAGACACTTCTGACACTGTGAATTTTTGTGCTGTTGTGGTATGAAGTTCACCATAACTGTCATGTGACTGATGGCTTCAGGAAGCCCAGGGAAGTTCTTTTTTTTCCCCCCCCGTTAGCTTATGAGACCTATTTATAACTGTGTCATAGAGTTCTAACTGTAATTTGGGATGTGAAAGGAATGATCAGCTCCATTGCTTTTCTGTAATGTAATTTTAATATTTCTTGGTTTATAAAAATAATTGTTTTTTCCTATTCAAAAGTAATGTACTTTTGAGTAATCATGAGAAAAAATATGAATAAAACCTCAGCTTTATTTAAAATTTTTGAGAGAGGATAATAAACAATTATACCTAAGCGTGTCCTGGAAAATGCTGTTAATTATATCCTGGATGTGAGAAGGATGTTTAGGGATGACCTGGTTTTGTGAATCACAGGAGGACTAAAAATTGTCAATATCTTTTTCTGTTTTATGGAGAATACATATGTTTGGTTCTAAGTAAGTAAAAATGACAATGACTCACTGACTGTACCAAAAAAATCTGCAATTCTTACTATGGGAAAGTGAGAAAAACCAATGAACACTCAAAACAAAAAAAGCCTGCTTTCTGGGCAGGTGGGACATAACAAAATTTTTAACTTACTGGGTGGTTAGTCATAGAGCAAAAACTAAGTTCAGCAGTTATACAAAGATCAAGCATATTCACAGTAGTATGATGCAGAGCATAAACAGAAATTACAAGCGGAGTTGAAGGATACGAGGAAAGAAATGGGGATTACTGTGGGTTAAAGGATTTTAATACTACATCAAGCACTGCAGTATAAAATACTCTCTCTCGTGAAAAAGCAGTAGTAGGTTAGGCTTCCTATTCTAGAAAACTAGCCTCCAAATACTTGTGTGAAGAGTGTAGTAAATTTTATGGACTCTAAATGAAGATACGTTTCCTGCCTCATGGTTGAGGCAGCAGTAGCTGGATAGGGGTTTAAAAACTGATGCAAACCCTAGTAAATCCCCTGCTGAGTGGACAGGCTAAATGTGCTGTATAACTGAGACCGTATAATTGCTAGCATCTGGGTAATAACTGGCAAGCTGAAGAACTTTACAGTGTGTCTGTATAGATGTGAAGTCTGGTACATGCGCAGCTTGAAGAGCTCACTACTACAAAGTTAGTTGATTCATAAGCGTTTAACATAAACTGCAGTTTATCTCTCAAAATAATAACATATATATTCGCTGAAGTGAGAAGCATGGATTTTTTTTTAGTTGTGTTTTGCATGTGAACGTGAACTGTAGCTATAACTTCCTGGAGTTTGGAGAGATGATTCTGTTTCCAAGATCTGAGTTTATTACAGAAATATCAGATTTAAAAATGTAACATGCAAAGGGAATTTAATCATCAGAAACCACTTAAAGGTTTTCAAAGCATGCTAGAAAGAAGAATGCAGTGAAAGTTTCTACTTGGAATTTTCAGAAGGGCAGCACCTCTTTCAGATAACACCAACGTTAACTGCTCATGTGTTTATGTAGAAATAACATAACTTAGATTTTTCATTTGGTTATTTTTTAAAAAACTTAATTTATAGTAACAGACCTTTTTATAGTCTTACGCAAAACACTGTACATTCGTGAGGGTTATACAGACAATACCAAGTAGTGCCAAGGAGTGAGGTACCTGTAAATGATGCATGCAGTGTTCTGACAGGTGCTGCAGTTGTTGAGGTCTTGACCAGTGTGGTAGAAGTTGCGCCTGTAATAGACAATAGTTCATGTAATTTATGTTTATAGATTTATTAATATCATGATCTTTGTGCCTTCTGCTTTTGAAGATTCTAGTTTTTGGCTTTTGCATGAGTACTTGTTACAAAAACACTTAGTCACAATTCTCCTCATAAACACACTTGAAAGCATTCGAATAGCTAAGCTAATGTTCTGGTGTTTTAGAAATGTTTTTACTGTTCTATTATGAATTTGTGCAGATGGATTTCTCTTGACAGGCCATTGCCAAGTTCAGCACTAGAAAACTGTATGGCTTTTGAGATAGAGAAAAATGAATGGGAAGAACTGTCTGAGAGAGGACAGTTGGGGCTGAATAAAATGGAAAAAATGTTAAATTGGAGGAAAAACTTAGGCTGACACAGTGGAAATAAACAGAAGTATCTTTCTGCTAACAAAAGGGTGAAGGTTACCGGATAATGTTTCCGGATTAGAAAGGTAAACTGTAAAGAGCAAATGCACATTAACTTGATTAATTTGATTTTATTTTGTTAATATGTGAAAATTCATATTTGGAGTGTGAATTGGAAAAAGGGGATAGTTTCAGTCCCCAGATAAAATGCTTCAAAAATGAAAGAATTCTTCATAAGAAAATCAGAGTAGATGTGTTTTTCTTCAGAAATCATAGGAAAATACCAGAGTATACGATGGCAGCTTTAGTTAATTTAATCCTAGTACGTCTCTGCATGGCCTTGCAAACCTTTTCAGTCCACATGGGGATGTGTACACGGACTTGGATTTGAGTCACATGAGCAAGCCAGTGTCATATTCTGTGCTTTTCATTTGTGCCAGTGAACCTGCCCAGCACAACATCTCTTTGTGATGCTTGCGAACCTTGTGGAAACGTGGAAGATTGTGTCAGATTTATGCATTAGTTGTCGTCAGAAAATGCTGTTGATAAACATTATCTGATACTAAAATGAAAGATGCAGTTTTATACACGCACCAGTTACCCATAGATGATTAATTCTAGATGCCTAGGTTAGTTGTGCTTAGTGTAAAAGTAAACGTGTGATAGCAGACTTCCCGTTTTTTAAAGATAAAACAAGGTGTTCTTTGTTCCCACTGATGCTTTGAGGGGATTTGTTTGCCATTTTTTTCGAAGATAAAGGTTTTTTGAGGGAAACAGTAGATTATCATAAAGCAGAACTTGGAAATTTATGGACGCGTATACTGTAAGTTGGAACCACTGCTAATGGTTTGGAAAGCATTATTAGGATATTTTAAAATATATTTTGAGCATAGAAGTGCTTTAAATTCTAATTTAAATTCTATTTTAATTTTGTCACACAATGATGTGAATTCTTCAGTATTTAGACATAAGCTGCATTTATAGTGTTGTGATTATTTATAGTGCATAAATAAGTTACATAAATAATTCTTGCAGCCCTGGGCTAGTAGACGCTATGAGAATATACTAAGAATAAATACGGATCGTACACTCTTAGGACAGTACAGGGAGCAGTCATTCTAAAATCTCTAGCTGATGTTCTTTAAGTTCTTGCTAACAGTTATCACATGCTTTATATTCATACTTTAATCCCTTTTAAGCCCCCAACTCCTCCACCCCCTGGGAAATCTTAACAGCACATTGAACCTCTTGAAGTTGACTCACCACTGTGCCTTTTCCTATTCTTAAAGCATTCCCCTTAAGCAGCTGTGTTCTTTGTGGTGTCGTGAAAGGCAGCCAGCAATGGGAGGAGGGGCGCAAAAAAAAGCCTGTAGGTGCATTACTTTGTCCACTACTACTTTTGCTTGCTTATGAAGACATGAATAATTTATTCAACAGAAGCATGTTTTTGCTGATGCAGACCATTTCAGCCATAAGACTGCTTTGTCATTAAGTGCATATGTGACCTTGATAGTAAAAGACAATTTACCTGCCATTGATTTCTGTTACATTTCATTAGTATATTAAACTGTTGGGTTTTGTTGTTGTCACTGCACAGAGATTTTTAGCTAGATGGAGGCTGCCAACTCTCATGAGTTGGTGACATTGTATTTGACACCATAAATCCAAATAAAAAGAGTTATTAAACAGTGTCTCGCACTGGGTTCAGTAAAGGCAGCGTTAATTAAAGCCAGGCTATAAAGAGACTTGCTTCTCTGCAGAGGCTCAAATATCAGAAACAGTGGATGAGATACAGTTTTGCAACTCATCTTTAAATATTTCATGGAAAGATTTTTCAATAGCAAAGGTTAAAAGAATGCTAACATCTACCTCAGAGTTCTGATAAACTACCGAGTAAACTAATTTCTAATATTAAAATGCACCATACCCTTCACTGAGGGCTCTGGCTTTTTCCAGGTCTTGAATTACATTCAAAAGGACTTTAATCTTCTCCTGGTTTGACTGCAAGGATTCCTCTACAGACTGCAGCCTGCCTTGTAGGGAACATAGTTCGCCATGTGCCAAATGAATTTGATTCATTTCTCTAATCTCTTTGTTGGTTTGTGGTTTTATTTCATTCCTTGGCAGATAAGACTTTATGTGAAATCCTTCTATGCAGTTGTTACAGTCTGAAACATCTAGCTGGGTAGAATTTTTCTTGATCTCAGTGTGACATGAAGGAATGGATTTTGATGCGTTACTGCTGGTCAATGACATTATGGCATGATCATCATTTGTTAGTGTCATGCAGCTGGAATCTGTTTCATGCTCTCTGGGCTGCTGATAGTCTCTGAGGAAACAAGGAGATAAACTGTGATTTGACGGAGCTGATAAAGGAATAGTTTCCTTACTGCTTGCATCTTTATTGGGTACAGGTAACTCAGAATCTGCTTCACAGGAATCAGAATGTGGATTGCATTCACTGCAGTAACTGGAATTGCTTAAGCAAGGGTGTGATTTTTCGGAATTAGATGACAGCGTGCTGTTTTCGTTGGACTGATTTACGCCAGTAGAAGAATGCAGTGAATTACTTAAATCCGTGGTCATGTCTAGTGCATCCATGGGAGCATTACTGTCCGGTGGAGAACTCAGATGTATGTATTCAGGCACCTGTGTAGAAGCAGTTGTCTTTTCTGGCACTGAGAAATCATCAGAGTCCAAGTGGATAGGTCCATTGCATTGTGATTTTGTTGCTGGTTTTTGATGTAACTGACTGTCCACCTCACTTTTGCTAAATCCATCTTCCAAATGATTAGTTATTCTTAGGTAAGAGATGTCTGAAAGCAGTATGTCTCGTTCAGAAAGATTGCCATTTACTTGGATGGAATTTGCAGGCTCGGTTGTCATTTCTGTTAATGATTTGCTTACTGTCAACTTTTTCTTTTTAAAAACTGGGAAGCGTTTCCTGAGGCTTGGAGATGTTTGTATGGCAATATTCTGAAGACCTTTTTGAGCCCTCGGGAAAGATGGAGATTGGTTTGGCAAAAAATTTTGATGCCCAGATATTTTTGTGTTTCCGGTCAGGAATGCTGTATCTTGGGCAGGATGGGTATCCGTTTCAGTGACACCCATTATCTTTGTGTTCATACCATCGTCCTTGAATCTCACTTGCTGAAATTTGCTTCTGCGGTGGTGCGGCTGCCTCATAAAATCAACTGAATCCAAACTGTTCTTTTTCAGTAGTACTGGGCGCATTTTCATGTTTTGCTGAGCCATTGAAGCACAGTTTAAAGTTTGCAAGTAACGTGTTTCATTAGGTCATTTGAACAGCATCTTGCCATTATTCCTTAGATGCAAAGGAATGCCTTAAATACTAATAAAAAAGGAAAGCCTTTCATTCTTGTTACTATGTATAGTTCTAGCTGGCATGCTCTCTTTAGGAATGCTCTTCCAAATTTTGAGTGTGATAAAATGATACTTGTGAGTACAAATAATCATTGATCAAACTAAGCACACCAAGGGTAAAGAAATGAAATAAAAGATTTAAGAAAAGTTTCCTTGTAGCTAGGGAATGCAAAAGTATTTTTTTATGGTCTGAAGCGAACATGATCTCTGTATTACAAAATTGTAATAGGCTGATAGGTTTACAGATAACTGATTTAAAGACAAGTCTGAGTCTGTGACTTTCCTAATGCCTGTTATTTGACAGTCAGCTCTCCGTTAGTGATGCAGGTTTTTATCATAGGCCAGTCACATACTAATTACTTGCACATTGCGTAAACAACAGGCATGATAACTTTTGGGGGCACTTTCATTCCTGATGCATAGTTTTACTGATGGTACATATCCATTAATACCAAAATGAAATACTTTCTTTAGAGATGCTTTTTCTTCTTCAGCCATCTTTTTATTTTAGCAGCCACTTCTGACGAGGGAAGAATACAGCATGCAGCAGGATTCAGTGAAGGAAGTTATTCATGTGCAGTTGTTACTTTAGTTTAGGCAAATATAATGCCAGCTGTGTCTGAGGACTGTTTCATTTTGGCAAGTTCTGTAAGTACTTTGGCATCAGAGCAATCCAGACCAAATAATCAGAAAATGCAGAATAGGAGGTAATCTTTCCTGAAAGTAAGAAGACAACAGTTGTAAATTAATAAATTGCCAAATACTGTTGTTTTTTTTTCTGTAGATTTTTTAATTTGTTGTGATCTGTGCTCCAAAGTAATGGTATAGGCAGGCTTGAACCTGAAAAGTTAAACATGGGCCTGAAGTCTTAAATCTAGTTTTAGATTTGAAAATGACTGCTTAGTCTATTTACAATTGGTTGAAATACACAAAAACTGAAAAATATAAATGTGAGTTCTTGATTTTGGGGCAAATGGAAATGGATTTTCAGGTTCAAACGTGACTCAGGTTTCTGTTTTTTCTTTTTTTCTTTTTTTTAAGTGTTTCCCACTGTATGTGTTCAAATTTGAGCACAACTCTTACACAAAGGAGAATAAATTTTCTTGGTAATTTAAAATAAGATTAATGCATATATGGAACCTTTTGTGGGCTCCTGAAATGTCTTTTCTATGCAATATGAAATATTTGGTCAAAACTGAAGCTGACTGCTCAAGTGTGTGAGGTGTTCTGTTCAATTAACATGCAAGAGTCTGGCCTATAAAGCTGTAGTTTGTTCCTTCTGGTCCAGAGCTCATCATAAAATAGCAAATATTAAACGCTTCAACCATTAAAATTTACATTTCTGAAAAATAATTAGGACACCAATACAGTTATAACCACAATGTATTACATCTAAATTTGAGTTAGGAAGAATTAGAGGAAAGTTTTATTATGGAGAGAACTACTATCAAAATTTTACTCTACAAACATATTAGTCTTTTTTGACTGTAATATAACGATTACTCTTTTTTCTACCCAGAATGGTAAAGCTTGTACCAGTTTGTCACAGCTGCCGTTTTAATTATGAGAATTAGTTTGGCACAAAAACGTTACTTTCATAGATCAAGGTGTAATGAGCAATAACCACTTTTCAAGTTCTCTGTATTTATTCCATAAAAATATTATTAATGAAACTTGAAGTGCAAGTAGTTTGTCGCTCCATATGCAGGTAATGGATGCATTCCCTGTGCTGAGTACCATGATGGGTCTTCCGTAAGTTTGTGCTCGTATGTAATGTGGATGATTCACAGAATCACCGACTCGTTTAGGTTGGAAGGGACCTCTGGAGATCATCTAGTCCAACCCCCATGCTCAAGCAGGGTCCTCTAAAGCATATTGCCCAGGATCACATCCAGATGGCTTTTGAATATCTCCGGGGAAGGAGACTCCACTACCTCTCTGGGCAACCTGTTCCAATGCTCTGTCACCCTCACAGTGAAGAAGTTTTTTCTCAGGTTCAGATGGAACTTCCTGTGGTTCAGTTTGTGCCCGTTGCCTCTTGTCCTGTTGCTGGGC